TTCCCTTGTAAAGTACATTGGTATTTTTCCAATTGGCATATTTGGTTTTCAATGTATAGAGGTTTTTACTGGCGAATCAATGATTCCATCATGCAGCAAATTTATATCAATGCTTCAGGAACATACACTTTATTTTTTCTTTTTTCTTTTCTTTTTTTTTCACGGTTTATCACTTACATCACAAGCACTGATCAAGAGGTGCTATCTTATGGTTTCGCTATCGACTTAGGGTCTCCAAGCTGGTGTGGGGTAATGATGTGTCATTTCTAAACCGGATCTCCAAATGCGTATGAGCAATTAGTTAAAGCACAGATCACATCAGATCATAAACTTTGACATGAAACAGGATTCAGTTACGATCCGAATAATGGCATGTTCAGGATAATAGATTGGATCTATTATCCTATCACCCAAATCAACCCATCTAATACCTTATCCTCACATCAAATCCCTCAATTCGAATAGTACATAAACCCTCTTATTTCCAATGTAATAAACGATATTCTTTACCTGATTAATTTCATACTCTTTTTATAAATAATTTATTTCTGATAAATCATAGCCTAATCAGAATAAGCATAGAGATCAGAATTCCTTACGACTTGCGCACTCTCTTATTGTTGGGTCCCTAATACACAAAGATAAGTAGCCCCATCTATGATATCAATGCCTTACGATTACCTTTATGTTTCTACAATTTAAGAGATAGAGAGAATATCAGCATAAAATGGCTAACTCCAGGTGATGATGAGAAACTTACTGTCTTTGCAAATCTTGCGTTTCTGGTGATGAATTTCTTCTATGCTTTTCATATTATTCCTTTGCCTTTGATTTGTTTGATGCAGATTCATTTTTTGATACTGAAAATGGCTGCATTGGCTATAGTGATAGTGCACATTATAAAATGGAAAAGAAACGTGAGTTACTGCGCTATATCTATGAAAACTTAATTACTTGTTCTACTAGAGGCATATGTTGCGTGCTGATTCTTCTATAATATTACGATTAGTATTGTTAAGCACAAAGAATAAAAGGATTATTATTTGTAGCTTATAAAAAATGTTCAATATTATAAAAACAAGAAAAGACTTATTTGAATAAGATCAGACACAAAAACTAATGATTTATTGATAAAGACAAGAGTTATTCTATTTATACTAAGTTCTGAATGCCAAAGTAGCAATTTATCTTGTACAACGCTTATCACATCTGGTGAACCTCAGTATTTAGATAGCTGAGATGCACTTCACTTATCATAGCTTGTCCATGTTGTTGCACAACACAGACATATCTACCCATCAAGAATACCTTAATCTTTATAGACAGTTGTAGCCCTTCTGGCACAACATTGCCCCCCCAGATTCAGGTACTTCTTGTGGACATTTCGTAATCCCAGATTACAAAACATCATGACAATATAGCACATAAAGCACTTTCCAATAAATAATTACCAAATGACACTGCATCCGAGATCAGTCAGTAAAAACCTTGTGTAAAAACCTTTCATAGGACAAAAATGTAAGGAAAAGACTTGATCCCATCATGCTAGTAGCCATTTAAGACCTGTTTGATCTACCACTCTGACCAATTTCGCGAGTAGTAGTAGTTCGCCAGTTAACTGTTTGAGGAGCTAACCTACGTTTACCAGCAGCCTTTGCACCTTCTCTTCGAGCCCAATACAACTCAATGTGTTTGGCCGAATCAAAGTTTTTCACAGGCTCCCAAGTATCTTCACTAGGATCATCGAACCCTTTCCATTTTACCTTATACTCATAGTTACCAGGAGATCCTCTATGATCAATCACAGCTTGAATTTCGTAATGCTCTGCAGAGAATTCATCAATTGTGATTGATTGAGGATTCGCAGCGACTTGGTACTTGATATGATGGGTAGGCACATCTCGACTAAGGAGTGCACCCGTCTTGTCAGCCAGCACATAGGAACCTTTATCGGTTATACTATGAATCAAATAAGGTCCTTCATACCGTTCATCTAACTTATTTTGACGATGAACATTTTTAATCATAACTTTACTACCAATAGGATAGGGTTCGGCAATGACCTTATGTTTCTTCGCAAAGTTAGCATGATCAGCATTTTGTGTATCCACAATACGCTTAGAAATAGCCGGGATAAGAACATCTTGTACAAAACGGTATCGTTTGTCAATGAGTCTGTTATCAGCTTTCTCCAAACGTTTGGAATAGTCCACCTTTGAGTAATCAGCCAGACCATTTGGTTGACGATTAAACAAAAGTGTATACGGACGAGATTTATGTAGCCGAGCATACTTGACATTGATGCAGTAATTCACCCACGGAATGAAGTGCTCCCATTGATCCCTCTTACCTTTTAACAACTTGATAGTCGTTAACTTACATATTTTGATAAATGACTCAGAAACCGAGTTACCCAATGGATTGTACCCTAATGACAGGCGATGGTCTATCCCACTGATGTCCATCATAGCACGGACCACCTCATTTATCCATTCCAGGCCTCTGTCTGAAGTCAACTTGATTGGCCATCCAAAAAGTGAGAAAACTTGAAGCATTTCCCTGGCAATTGTCGTAGCCTTCTTGTCTGGAATGCATCTTATCACAGTAAATCTCGTAAAGTAATCAGTAAGGACAAATAGAAAGTTGCTGCCGAAAGAGCTAGTAACACCCATATCACCGAGATCCATGCACCAATGATCCAAAGGTTGGGCTGCATTGACACTACGGAAAGGATGATATCCCTCTCTAGCGATATTGTACCTGTTACACTCGTCACAATCAGCTAATATTCTTTCTATGTCTTTCCGAATGTTCACCCAGTGAAACCCTTCATGATGAATTGCAGTTTCAACATGTTTGATCCCAAAATGTCCAACCAGATGCTGAGCAATGATCATATTGTCTCTTTCATTAGCAGGAGGAGTGATATAGTCAGCAAACCTAAGCGTACGCAATATGAATTCCTTTTGCTTTTGCGAGACAGCTGTGGTGGTGCCATCTTTGATAAGAGTAGCGTTTACCGCAGTGCGTGCATGGTTGCTAAAAGAATTAGATCGTAACGCCTTAGTTGTCTTGACCAAAGTACGTTTCATTGGAGGCGAAGGTGTGACAACCTTGAGTTTGTTTTTGGAACCCTTTTTCTTTCTCTTTACACTTTCACCACCATCAGCATAGTACCTGCCCCCCAGAAGATGTCGTGCTGAAGCATCAGCATCCGAATCTTCGTAAAGTCGAGATAAAGCATCAGGAATTACGTTAAGGACACCGGGCAAATGCACAATATCGAAAGTATAAGAAAAAATGGTCTCCCACCATCCAAGCATGAGTGCATTGGGGACTTCCTGTGTATTCAAGTAGATCAGACTCTTATGGTCCGTATGTAAGGTAAACTCTCGCATATACAGAAAACGATGAAACTTAACCAAGGCATAGCAAATCCCTAGCAATTCCCTTTTCGTAGTACTGTAGTTACGCTCAGAAACAGACAATTTACGAGATACGAGACCTACATATCGAATCTCATCGTTGACCACTTGATATAAAACCGCGCCAAGAGCAGTTAAACTAGCATCAGTAGCCAAGTGAAATCGAATCGAAAAATCAGGAGGTGACAGCACAAGTGCCATCGTAAGTGCATCCTTCAAGTCGGCAATCGCTTTTGTATGAGACTCATTCCAAACATCTGTTAGATCCTTGTACTGTTTCAAGCTATCAAGATCTCGAGTCAGACGAGAATAACATGGAATGGCAGCACGAAAGTACGACATTAAACCCAAGAAAGATGCCAATTGACGACCAGTGGTAATAGTCGGCCAATCTGCAATGTTGGTAAGTTTTCTACCGTCAGGCAGTAATTTACCATTAATAACACTCCATCCCAAGAGATAAATACTACGCTGAGCGAAGACGACTTTCTCAGGATTGAGCACCAAATTAGCATCGGTTAAACGACGAATTACCTCAGCAACCAACGCATAGTGATCTTGTAGGCTCCCATTACTACTGCATAAGATGTCATCTACATAGCAGGAAACCGAGTGATCACCATCAGTAGGAAACGAAGTAGAACTAGAGCTTGTATTCAAATCAGAGAGCAGTGTTTGCAATGTGCGTACAACCACCGATCCGACATGGCGAATTCCATAAGCAGCCTTTTTATGGGTGTATTGGATATTCGTGAAGGGACAAGTAAATGAAACTTTATGAGCTTGCTCTGGATCTAAACCAAAGCTAGTAAAGCAAGCATGGATATCGAGACAAGTATGAATCATTTTTGTACCAATGCTCTGATGGATATGAGAGATCAAAGGTAACTGTTGTTTGTCATCCACTTCCAAGATAGCATTCAGCTTACGAACTTCACACACCACTCTAGGCTTAGACATTGTGTAATTACCATCAGCGTCCTTTTTCTTTACAACCAACAATGGATGATTGAAACGTGTATGACTAGCAGATCTTTCAACAACACCCTCATCAAGCCATATCTGAATTTGTTTGGCAACAGCATCACGATAAGCTTCAGGCAAAGGATATTGAGCTCGCCAAGCGACAGCACCTGGTTTAGTATCAAGCTTAATAATCGAATCCGGCAGATTACACTGAGTATTCTTCATATCAATGCGCGAATTCTCTTCTAATAACCCCTTTAGTGCAAGTAGAAACGGCTGTCTCTCTTCCTCACTACCAAAAGGATGTGCGTTTGGAGTAATACCATCATCAATAGGGTCTGGTACACGAGGACCTGATTGAAAGCCATGTTGACTCACCAAGCCCGTAAGACCAATGCCAAGCTTGGACAAAATATCCATACCAAGCAACACAGGTACGTTTTCCTCAGAATAGAATGGAAATACTTCAAACAAATGGTTTTTATTTGATTTATTGTAGCTAATGTGCAAACGTACCGCACCTATTCTAGGCACAGTCGTTACTTCATGAGCCATTTGAACAAAGCTCTCATCATCATCATTAGCCTCAAATCCAGCAAGAGAGGTTCCTCATTGCTGAGCAAATATATTTTGTAGCGTATCGTCGTCCACAGACATGCTACTCATCTCTTTTTCAAGAAGAATAGACTGGGCACGATTCACCAGGTCAGTATCCTCAAAGATACCATGAGCTTCACTCATCACAGCATCTTGGTCAACATCAACATTGTCACTACCACCAGAAGAAGGAGCAAGGACAACATCATCCACCGATTGTTCAGCAGAGGAGAGAGCAGGGGAAGAAGCACCTTTCTCAGCTAACGCACGATCAACACGAGCAGAGAGAAAAGCAGCTTGGATTGCAGCATCCATCGAATGTTTGCCACCACGTTTCTTAGTCATGGCACGCAAAACTTTTTTACCACCATTGCCCTGATGGGTGTTACCACCACCAGTACGAATAGCAGTGTTGCAGTGATGCATCTGCCCCTTTGGTCGAGGACCGTTACATTTGGAGCAAGTCCCTTCAGCAACATGTTCAGCAAATGTTTTGCCAAAACGATTAGCACTAGAACGTGGAGAGTTGGACGAGGGACCATTGGATCTCGACGAAGAGCTACTTTGAAAAGCGTTTCCACTAGAAGAAGGTGCGTACCGAGACTTCTTTGCTTCGTTCGAAACAGGTATGTCAGCAGCGCGTTTTCTTCCATCAAAAACAGAGCCCAAAGATTCTTGACCCGTCTCAATAGCCATCATATCCATCTTGCGCACGAGAGAGGACACATAATCAATGTCATAAAATGACGATTCTGGTGCCTGACTCATAGCAACCATTAGCAACCTAGCGGTAACCTTGGGGAAAGCGTCAAAAAACACCATCGCAACGACACCCTTATCACTGATGTCAGCTCTATTTCTCAACGTCTTAAACCGCTCTACGAAACCATCAACGGATTCTTCGTTTCCTTTAGTACAACGAAGAAACTCCCTAATTCTTTCGAATCTGAGCTGTTCTTTTGGTGTACCAAAACGACCGATGATAGCTCCCTTCAAGGTAGCCCAAGACACAGTGGAGCCAGATGCTTTCACAAACTCATCAAGCCAATTGCGAAGATCGCCGGGAAGACAAGGAGGAAGCAAACGATACCAGTGTTCGTCAAGATCAAGCGTGCAACTGCTCAACTTATCGGAAAACCGGCGACAACACTCCTCAATGTTGGCAAAAACTTCCTTTTTTTCATCTTTGACACGTCCAAACCATTGGAACAAAGGAAGATCATCAGGTACAGTTGAACTATTAGCCGCACCTTGACTAACCACTGTTACTTGGGAAGGACTCTGGTTAGGTGTGACCATAGAGAGAGCTTTCTCTATAGCCTCCAAGTTAGAGCACTTCTTCGACAGGGCAGCCTTCAAAGCGTCGACCTCTTCGTCCGACTTGTCCCCACTGTTCGCAACTTCAGCGATCAACCCATGAACCTCCTGACGAAGTCGCTCTACAGCTCCTCCGTACGAAAGCTCGCTTCCAACAGCTTGAACATCTGAACTCTTGTTCTGTTCTGCAGGAGACACAGTAAAATCATTCATAGTCATATTTTCGGTTTAAATTAGATAGGTAGGTTAAAATCTGGAAGATTCTGATTTACACGATCTTAAAAAATGTTAAGCACAAAGAATAAAAGGATTATTATTTGTAGCTTATAAAAAATGTTCAATATTATAAAAACAAGAAAAGACTTATTTGAATAAGATCAGACACAAAAACTAATGATTTATTGATAAAGACAAGAGTTATTCTATTTATACTAAGTTCTGAATGCCAAAGTAGCAATTTATCTTGTACAACGCTTATCACATCTGGTGAACCTCAGTATTTAGATAGCTGAGATGCACTTCACTTATCATAGCTTGTCCATGTTGTTGCACAACACAGACATATCTACCCATCAAGAATACCTTAATCTTTATAGACAGTTGTAGCCCTTCTGGCACAACAAGTATCAAAGAGTACTTTTCTCTATGCAGCATTTACTTTTGTGATCCAGTATTTCGAGAAACATGAAAATTGATCTTGTCTACAATCGAATTTTCGTCATCGTCGACAGAATCTTCTTCGGATTGCGCTTGGGATCCCTCAGAAAATACCAGATCATCTTCATCGAATTGGGTTTGGTAAGTTGCGGTGTCATTGCTTGGCCTGGCATTGTATTTGTAATCGATTATGCCAGACAATGATTTGGAGACAGCAAACTGCGGCAACCAATCTTTGAAGAACCCAGAGATGTCAACGCCCTTTTTGGCTACATCGTTAATGACGGTCTTGATCAACAAGGCTTGAAACCTGTTGTCCAGCTTGCTGAAAGTGATATTTGGGAACTGTCTATCAGCTTTCTTTGCCTGGTTGTATGCTGCATCTTTGACAAGCTCCCAGACCTTCTTGCCATCAAGGTGTTCCCCACCTAATCGATGCTCCTCAAGGACGTTGATGCATAGCTCAACAGAAAGCTCCTCCAGATGTTTGTTGTCTGCTTTGCTTGGACGGCATATCACTCCATCTAGTCTCGCAACATTGGCCGTGCTCGGAGAGGTAGATTGTTGAACAATATGCTGCAGCATAGCTTTTACTTCGGTCTGGTTGTCATTACATTCCTTGACCTGTTTGCTAAGATTGGACAACTCCTGTTCAATGTTCTCCAATCTTTGTAAGAATAGTTGTTGTGCTTGATCCATTTTTGAATAAGTGATTAGTGTAAAGTGTAAAATAGAGCAGTGCTTTGAGATGGTTGTATCAATTGCGATAAATGCGTAACAATCTATGAAAGACAGAGAAAAACTGGTCTAGTAATGTTTCCAATAATTAATAGCACCCGCTATCACAGATATTGATGTTTCAATCATGCAGATTGAAACGCATGCAATGTGAACTATTAGATTTCACTATAGATATTCACATGGCTATTCAATACCAATCAAAGTGTATTCTATGTTCAATATTGCATGCGTTTCAATCATACAGATTGAAACGCATGCAATATAAGGAGCATAAAAGACAATCCAGACAGATTTGTGTTTAACCTTTATTTCTAATATTATTTACGATGCCATTTTTTTGTGCCCAGTGTTGCCGAAGAATTCGCAATAGACATGAAAAACAGCATAAACTTTGGCACTCTTCAAATGACACAACAACTGTAGACTTGCACAACCTGGAGACTAATCAGTATCAAAGAAAGCAAGAACTGAACATGATACTCAGGCTGGATCTTACACTGAAAGAAATAGTCAGCAAGAAAACAGCGATGGTGAACCTGGTAGCGATGGTGAACCTGGTAGCGATGGCGGATATGACTTTGGAGACTCTGATGGACTCGGCGCTAACTATAGTGACAATCAGATGTCTGACAGTTGCGAGGCATTACCACCACTGGATGCTAAAAATACTGAAATCCACAAGATCTTCAGGGAAGAAAACTTGACAAACTCAAGCATCCGAAGACTTGTTCAATGGCACAACCAAACGTATCCTTGTAAGTAACCATAACAAAGTTGGTTGTTTCAAAGCGCTAACATCTACTATGATAAGTTGCAACGCCTATAGTCTCAACATTCAAGGCCAGCTCTGCTAGGAAAAGGGCCACTTCTTTTGCACCTGTTGTGCCAGAAGGGCTACAACTGTCTATAAAGATTAAGGTATTCTTGATGGGTAGATATGTCTGTGTTGTGCAACAACATGGACAAGCTATGATAAGTGAAGTGCATCTCAGCTATCTAAATACTGAGGTTCACCAGATGTGATAAGCGTTGTACAAGATAAATTGCTACTTTGGCATTCAGAACTTAGTATAAATAGAATAACTCTTGTCTTCATCAATAAATCTTTTAGTTTTTGTGTCTGATCTTATTCAAATAAGTCTTTTCTTGTTTTTATAATATTGAACATTTTTTATAAGCTACAAATAATAATCCTTTTATTCTTTGTGCTTAACAGCACCTTATACAGTCGATGTGTGCATCAGGTATTGCTATGCCTTTCAACCAGAGGATGGGGACGAATGTCCAGTGTGCTTTGAAAAGAGATTCGATATTGATGGTAGCCCCAGAAGAACCATCAAGATGCTACCAATCGGTCCACAACTTGCCACATTGTTCGAAAATCCAAACTTCATCAGAGTGCTTGATGACGAGGATTCATCCATCAGAGCAAGGTTCAAGGGCGATACAATGCTAAATTTAGTGAACAACAAGCATCTATTCGACAATAGATACGACATTGGCCTGTCCCTGTACGTAGATAGATTCCAATCACACAAAAAAGGCGGTGCAAAGTTGAACTTGGTCATGCTACAAATCTTGAACCTTCCTTCTGCCTACAGATACAAAATTGAGTTCCTGATTGATTTCGACATTATCCCAAACACCAAGAGATTAGACAGTTACCTTCAATACCTTGTCAGCGAATTGGAAAAATTGGCTCATGATGGACTACAAGTGCAGAGAAACAACTCCACAAGTATCTCGCTCAAAGTCCACCTCATGGGATCCTTTGGTGATATCCCCAGCGTCAGCGAACTTAATTTCCTCGCATCCCATACGTCGCTTCAAGGCTGCCGTTTTTGTACGATCATTGGCATCAGCAAAAATGGTGTTATTTCTTTTCAATTAGCAGCTAATAATGAAGATTGACCACTACGATTGCTAACAATTGAAGAATACAAATCCAGTGCACTAGAACTTGGTATCGAGAGGCCTTCTTTGTTTCGAAACCTGCCATCATTCATTGATCCAACGTTTGTGGGCTTGGATGAATTTCATTTGTTTGGACAAAACATGGGACCAAGAATCAAGAAAATGTTTACGGACAAGGAATCGATTCTTCGCTTGAAGCCGCGACAAATAGAGAAGATCATCGTTTGCTTGAACCAACTTGCAAGCACATCACCTTTGATCATCTTCGAAGGCGATTTCATGGATGTCTTCAGCAAGGGAGGGACAGCTCGAGGAGTAGATTGGTTGGTGTTTCTAAAGTACTTTGTGCCCACTGTGGAATACATCCACTATGATCTGCATTCCGACAGTTCATCCAGTTACCAGATTTAGATATAAACTGCATGTACACTGGATTAGATGTACGATATCGATTTATACTATGATCATGAGAAGATATGGACTTCAGATACGCTAGTACTATAAGATTCATACTATATAAGATATAGGCTATAGATGGCACCACGGACATGGATGGCACTATAGACTTATACTTGTATTCCGACATTGACTACGGATGTTTACCATATCTGGATAGGCACCAAGATTAATGCAATATGAGCTTGTTGCTTCAGATGTGCACTTTATGATCCACGCTATAAGACACATGCTTATATCCGTGATACTAGCTACAGATACTTTATGTACTACAGACTTGTACTATATATGAGACATGCTATAGACATGCATACGATATGCTATAGACATGCCATATATCCAGATACATGCTAAAGATGTATGCTTAGCGATATACACTCAGATATGTACTATTAATATAGACTAAGAAGACTGTACCTATCGGATACATGCTACTAGATCGATATTAATTATCCTTATGGAAAGGATAGATCAGGGTACTTCGGATGAGAGTCTAATTATTCATCCAGACAGAGCTAAATCATGATTAGCTTGCTGGAGTTGTCTTTTGGCATGATTAGACATTAGTTGATCTGAGTTGACTTATTTGTGAATCTAATTAATAGAACTTTTATCCATTGTTATAGTATATAAGAAGGATCATCTACCTGGCCAGTAGAGAGACTTCAGTTTACTTTACACCTGTCAGTTTGATAATAAAATATACCTTTATCAAGTTGACATTACTGTTTTTTTTTTATTCTTTTTTTTCCGTGAATTTTAGTCTGTAAAGCCTCAAATTCCACATTTTTTTCAACTCAAAGGTTATCACTTTTACACTTGATCTTATACTCTACATTTTATTATTCTACTTTAAAAACTATTTTTATCATGTCTCACAACCAATACAACGCTACTGAAAACACTCAAGAGGATATTGCTCAAGACTCTATCCGTGTTTCTTCTCCTTATGACTCATCTATGCAAGTGGATGAGCACGCTCAACTTTCTGCAGTTGATCATCTTCTCAAGAAGATTGACACTGCTCAGGCTTGCTTGGATCAGATCCATCGTAACGCTGGTGATACTTACACTGAGGAAGAACGCTTGGCGGCTGATGAAGCATCTGCGTCTATCGAATGGCTCAGCAAGCAAGTCAATGCGATTACTAAGAGGGCTGATTCCAAAGCAAGACCTGTCAATCTCAATGAGATCCCCCGTTTCCAGGTGGTAGGACAAGCTAAGCATTGGCCTGACCATCCAAGATTCACCACAGTCGATCATTTCTTCAGTGCTTTTGAGAACGTCATCAGAGCATCCGGTAATGAAGTAAATTTGGTTTGGAAACGCTACGTGCCTGTTTCACTGCCATTTGACTTCGAATCATGGACCAAGAATGATCTTCTGGCATGTAATGATTGGGATCAAGCCAAGGCATTGTTCCGCAAACATTTTGGTGCTCCCATCAACTCTGAGGAATCCATGGCCAAACTCTTCAGCATGCGCATGAAGAACAATGATACTCTACAGGACTATACGAATAAGTTCATGAAGTACGTCAAGGATTGTGGCTTCCCTCCTAACAGCAACATGTTAGCCAAGTTCTATCAGTTCACGCTGTTACGCAAGAATCAGCAAATGATGGTCAACCAAATGTCCGTCAAGCATGGTTCCAACCACAAATGGACTATCAACGAGATCTATGAGTGTGTGTTGCCTTTGTTCCTTGTTGACGAGCAAAATCGTGGTAATGATGATGTTGAGGTCGACATCAGAGGTAAGCGTAAGGGTGGTTCTGGTGGTTCTGGTTCGAGAACAAAGATGGCAAGGGTATCTGCTACTGGGTATTTCTGTGCGAAGCATGGCGGGAGCAATGCCAACCACAACACCATTGACTGTAAGTCAAGATTGAAGCACTTTGGCTCTGACAACAAGCCTAACCGGGCTACTACTGCTGCTCCGTATTCTATGAATTCCTCATCCTCTGATCCCAAAACCTGCAACTTTTGTGGTAAGCCCCGTGCTTACGGTCATCGTTGTCAAGAGTTCTACGACTGGAAGAAGGAGAGAGAATCAAGGAAGAACATTGGTGTGCATACTGTACAAACAACCACTGTTCGCAAGGACAACAAGTCTGGTTCTGGTTCTGAGACCAACGATGTTACCATGGAAAGTAGCACTGATTCTGACATTGGTGATGCTATTGGAGATGTCACCATGGAGGAAATAGATGCTTGCTTGGACGAGATTGAAGCAGAGGATGCCTCGCTCAACTGTAAGTCTAATGTGAAAAATGTACCTGAAAGTTTCAATCCATTTCAGTTACTGACTCCTATTATTTTAGAGAGCAAAGAAGGAAAACCAGTCCGTTTGATCGCGAAAGTAGATACGGGATCAGATTCCACCTTCTTAAATAAAAACATTTTTCACAATAAACTACTATTCACTTCCCAAGATATTATTTCTGTCGAAGGCAATTTGAACTTTCTGAGTCATTCAGTAAAGAGATTGGGTAAAACACCAGCTATCAAGATAAGATATCTTAATGACATTGCATTTGATCACTCGTTTGAGCTATCCAATTTTATTCAGGACCTAGGCGATTTTGATGTGCTACTGGGTGTAGACACATTAAGTCGACTTAGAATTGGGCTAACTGGCGTTGCTCACAAGTTTGCTGATATTGGACATCTTACAGAGGAAGAGAAATCAGAGCTTCTTGAAAGCATCGATTTCGAAAATGTCAATTTTGATACTAAACATTCTATTGATCCAGAAACCGCATCAATCTTTGAATCCCAAGTTGAGGAGAATAAGTATATGAGCAACATCCAAGATGCTATTGATGAGAATCAGAGAATCAAGCCTGGAACATTTTGTAACGTGCCTGAATCTGAGATCACTATACCAATCAAGGAGAATGTTGATTACTACGTCAAGCAATATCCGATCGCACATCATGCAATGCCCGAAATCGAAAAGCAATTGAATGAATGGCTGGATGTAGGAATTGTAGAACAGTGTAGACCTAACGGCTTATTCAACAGCCCTCTCATTGCAGTATCAAAGAAGGACAATGATGGCAAACCCACCAAAACTCGAGTTTGTATGGATGTGCGGAGGATCAACCAGCATATGCCCAACAATACAAACCAATTTGAGATACCAAATATACAGGATATCTTCACCCGGATCAAGCAGAAGGGGACAATATTTTCGAAAATCGATCTGAAAAACGCATATTTTTCATTTAGAATTTCTGACATATCAAGAAATGTGCTTTTGTTCAATTTTAGAGGAAAATCGTATAGATGGTTAGGCTGCTGTTTCGGGTTGCGCCCAATCACATCTGTCTTTAGCTCTGTCATGAACATTTTGTTTTCTGATATGCCCAACGTGGAGGTCTATGTGGACGACCTATGCCTCGTATCTTCATCCTTATCCAGTCATTGCGAATTGATTAAGGAGGTGCTGAGACGCTTGACACATGCCAACTTAAAGATTGGTGTTGAAAAGTGCTCCTGGTTTCGATCTAGCATCTACTTGCTAGGCTTTGTAGTTGGTCCTCATGTTTCCAAGGTTGACATGCGACGTCTCTCTGACATTGATCATTGGGGTCCATGCAAATCTGCCAAACAGGTTAAACAACTAGCTGGTGTTATTTCATATTTGAGACCACACATCCCAAATCTGTCAAAACTGATGGCGCCTATTGATGCTCTACGAAATGATCCAGATGCTGGTAGCAAATGGACTGAGAAGCACACCAAACGACTTGAGATTATCAAGAAGGTCTTGTTATCTGAAGCTTTACTGACTGCACCAGACATGAATAAGAAATTTTATCTTGAATGTGATGCTAGCTTATATGCAGTTGCAGTCATTTTGACGCAGCGCGACGATCAAGGACGCACAGTCTATGTGGCGATGTTGAGCAAATCTCTGACCAAATCCCAACAGAACTGGCCTGTCCTGAGACGAGAACTGTATGCCGTGTTATTCGGTTTAGTTCGTTTGCGACCCTTATTGTACGGGCATCCTGAGATTGAGGTTATGACAGATCATCGAGCTCTGATTTATATCTACACATGTAAATGTCCTACTAGAGTCATTCAAAATTACATGGAGATTTTAAACGAGTATCCCCAACTGCAATTCACTCATATCAAGGGCTTAGACAACATCTTACCTGACAAACTTAGTCGCTTGTATGAACCTTTAGAAGATCATACAGAGCTGGCGGGAGACAGTGATAAGAAAATTGCTAAATTACAAAAGAATATCATGAGAAGCAAAGGCTCCAAGAAACGATTCATTGGCAACAATAAGCAAACAAAGCATTATCTAACCAAGAACAAAGTAGTCTATAACAAAGACAAGCACTTGAATGTACTTGCTATGAAGATCAAGGAGGGCAATTATGAAAGCGTTGCTTACATTGCACCACCTGACAATGAGAGAGACCAACTGCTTCGTGAAACTCATGAATTTGGACACTTTGGTGCCGCTAGTATTGTCAAGAAACTACATGAAGAAGGTATTCATTGGACAGGTCTATATGATGATGCAAAGGCAATTTGTCAATCATGTATGGAATGTGCAAGACACAATGTAGTTCAAAAGGGTTACCATGAACTGAGAAACGTTGTAGCGTATGGTCCATTTGATCACATAGGCATTGACTTTCTTGGTCCGTTAACTCCAACCAACAATGGCAATATATATATATTAGTTGTATACGACATTTGCACCAGATTTATTATAACTCGTGCATTGCCCAACAAACAAACCGATACTGTCGCTAGAGCTCTGACTACCATCTTTGGAGACTTTGGCGTAGTACAAATACTACAATCTGATAATGGACGTGAATTCAAGAGTGCTTTGATGAGCGAGATCGGTAAAGCACTTGGCATCAATCAAAGATACTCTACGGCTTTCCACGCTAGGGGCAATGGTGCATCCGAATCAGGTGTTAAAAATATTCTTAATGCACTTCGTAAGATGGTCAGTGAACACATCTATGACTGGGACTCGGTTCTACCTGGAACTCAACTGGCTATAAACACAAAAATTAGGTATCGCACTGAGAGTGCACCTTTTCAATTGATGTTTGCTAGACCATTGAATAGATTCGTAGACTACGATGATCCTAAGATCAAGGACAACTTACCAAAGAAGCCTATGACTCTCGGTGAGCTACGCAAGAAGGCAGAGATTATGAACCAGGTTGTCTTTCCAGCTATTAACCAAAGAACACAACGCATTATTGAAGAGCAAGCAACGCGATTCAATAAGCATCACAAGATTACACACTTCAAAGTTGGTGATTGGGTTATGGTAAGACTTCCGCATAGAGAAAGCAAACTTGAGGCCGCTTATGATGGACCTTATCAAGTTGTTCAAAAGAAAAGATCTACATATGTGTTGAAAGACGATATGAATGAACTACTACATCGCGACTATGTGCCATCTGAATTGAAGCTGGTAGCAATCGACGAGTCTATCATCGAACAAGAAGTATATGAGGTTGACGAGATCAGAGCGCATCGTGGTCCTGAACACAATAGAGAGTATTTGGTAAAATGGAAGACATTTGGAGAAGCTGCCAACTCCTGGGAAACTGCTGCATCGTTCAACAACCCTCAAACCATTCGTAAGTACTGGGCAAAGATCAAGGAATATGAGCTGCTTGAGAAGAGAAGACAGGCACTAAATAGTGACACTGCTTCCTCCAAATCAAAGCGTAAGCGTGATGATTCTGACAAGCGTTTGAGAGGCTCTAAGAGACTCAACGTTGCAGAACAGTAAAGTGATGTTTGTCATGGGATATATCAGGGCAACATGCAAATTGCAGTAGCACCTTTAGACTATCACATTGCGTTATATCTTTGTCAGCGAATGCGAAATACAGATCATTGATCGTTTACATAATTCTTTGAATTAGTCAACATGCGTTGAAACTGGTGGGGGCAAATGTGGAATACATCCACTATGATCTGCATTCCGACAGTTCATCCAGTTACCAGATTTAGATATAAACTGCATGTACACTGGATTAGATGTACGATATCGATTTATACTATGATCATGAGAAGATATGGACTTCAGATACGCTAGTACTATAAGATTCATACTATATAAGATATAGGCTATAGATGGCACCACGGACATGGATGGCACTATAGACTTATACTTGTATTCCGACATTGACTACGGATGTTTACCATATCTGGATAGGCACCAAGATTAATGCAATATGAGCTTGTTGCTTCAGATGTGCACTTTATGATCCACGCTATAAGACACATGCTTATATCCGTGATACTAGCTACAGATACTTTATGTACTACAGACTTGTACTATATATGAGACATGCTATAGACATGCATACGATATGCTATAGACATGCCATATATCCAGATACATGCTAAAGATGTATGCTTAGCGATATACACTCAGATATGTACTATTAATATAGACTAAGAAGACTGTACCTATCGGATACATGCTACTAGATCGATATTAATTATCCTTATGGAAAGGATAGATCAGGGTACTTCGGATGAGAGTCTAATTATTCATCCAGACAGAGCTAAATCATGATTAGCTTGCTGGAGTTGTCTTTTGGCATGATTAGACATTAGTTGATCTGAGTTGACTTATTTGTGAATCTAATTAATAGAACTTTTATCCATTGTTATAGTATATAAGAAGGATCATCTACCTGGCCAGTAGAGAGACTTCAGTTTACTTTACACCTGTCAGTTTGATAATAAAATATACCTTTATCAAGTTGACATTACTGTTTTTTTTTTATTCTTTTTTTTCCGTGAATTTTAGTCTGTAAAGCCTCAAATTCCACACCCACAGTTCTTATCGACCACGTTGATTTATGCCATTTGGATCCTACTGTCTCTGAAGCTGCCAAGGAAGCCCTACGTACAATATCTCTGATTTGCTCAGTATGCTTGCAGCAGAATATATCTGAGAGCGAGATACAAAAATTGGAGGAACTAGTCACCAAGTGGCACCAATTTCTTTGTCTTCACATCTCAGCAAAATTCTTTCCAATCAGCGAACATTATTTGGAGCATATCACGATGGTGATTCGAAAGATAGGCCCCATGCCTCAGTACAGTTGCCGTGTTTTGGAGAGAAAAATCCAAATGATCAAGAAGAGAATCCATGGCTGTAGTCAAGTCGCAAAACAAGCGGAAAATATCATGCTGGATATTGCATGTAACAGCTATAAAAAAAGAAGGACAATTGCATTTGACAGTTCGACGGATACTGCCATCACCTTCTCAAAATCATTGAATATGGGCGACATCAAGCTGTCACCGTCTATTGCTTCTATGTTGTGCAAATATTACAATACTGCTCGTGTCAATCCGCAGATCAAGTGCGCTACCTCACTACGACTTGGCAGCAACATCACGATCGACTCTACTTTCGATCCACCAAGTAGAAAGAAGAAGCTGTCAGACCATGCCCTGGTCAATTGTGCTCGCCGCAGTTTGCTACCATTGCTGGTAAAGGTGTTGCTCATCTTTGAGCACAACTTCTCTGGTGCAACACATGCTCTAGCCGTTTGCCAAGTCTATCAGAACGTAACGGTATCAACGTCCGGCATCCCTGAATGTTTCCTTGACAATGCCAACTCGGATACTTCCAATGGTGCATGGGATCTGGATATAATAGCTGTCGATGATATTTTGTCTTCAGTTGCAGTTCTGAAGTCTGCCATATCTGGGAAGCTCTTCTTTGTTTGGCCTGATATGAAAAGAATTGATTTGAAAGTATACAATGATGATTCTATATTTGACTTTGCATAAAATAAATATACGCCAACATCATGGTCCTCTTTCTCTCAAACTTACTAATGTTCGTACATCCTTCCAAATTACTAGCCATCCCACTGTTCTATATCTTAATGCTCATTCTTTTGCCCGGTCGCATGCAAAGCTGAAAATCCATTCCTAATAATAATAACTAGTTAATATTGTTTCCTTTCTATTGTTGCTCTGTAATAATATATCTTCTTTCTTTCCTCTTCCTATCCTATTATGACATTCAGATACCTCTAAATAAAAAATGGAGCACGACTCCCTTACAAGAAAGAATCTCAAGCAGTTGACAAATAAGAAATAAAAATGGCGTAGCGATGACTACTCGCTTTTCTGATGAAGATCGTTTCGTGGTAAAAAAATCGCTGGATAATATCTAAATTTTATCTAAATTTTCCCAAATTTCTCCAAATTTCTCTAAGCTTAATTTATTAATTTTCATCTGCATGAATTTATCTGAATATTTCTAAAGGGATTTGGACAAATTCAGAGTGATTAAGACATTTTTAGGATATTTCAGAAAAAATTGGTGAAGTTCTAATATATTCAGATAAATTTGAATCTTTTTTAGTCACAGTGTTTTATACATATGTCTTTGTTCAAAATCGTCTGATTTATCAAGGACCAAATGTGAATTAAATTAGCATAAAAAGTATCGTTTATTATGATGTATATAACGTGGGTATTTATAATAATGGATTACAGGTGATAGGAACTAGTGGGTAGGGCTCCATTAGATCTAGTTTTATGTGAGTAATAGATGTAAGTATGCTATATGTTATGTTCCAATGGTAATTTTGCTATAAGGTATGTTTCATGGCTGTCATCTTGTGTACTTAAGGTACGATTATCCGTCAATCTATTTCTAAATGCAGATATTGTAATTCTGGTAGATCATCGTCTACTTTCGAAATCATCTGTATATCATCAACAACCCACCATCCGATCTAAGACCCAATTACCCTAGTGTTTTTATTGCAATATTTTTCTATAGAGACATCATGCTATTGTAAGAGCTCTCGCATCAATAATATTTCAAAACGGGAAATACTTTTGTACGTCCAGAGTCTTGGATTTGAGATGATAAAAGATAGCAGATCATGGTGGTGATGTATATTGCATTCTTGGTGGGGCATTTGGTACTACTGAAAGAGCCCTGTATCCAGTGTACTGCTGCAGTAGTAGTGGTACAACATATTGTATAATCTTCCATACATAATAAATTTACAAAAACATTCTTCACACAAAATCGTTTAATGGATGATGAATTCAATAATCACACCTTATCTTACTTTTGAATAATGAAGGATATAAATTTGTATCATTATTTGAATACATTTTTATTACAAACACAAAATTATAATACATGACAGATCAATAGGAAATCAACTAGTTGTACCCCTTCGTTGTTTCAACCTCTGAGCCAATCAGATCGCGTAAAAACTCCGCTGACCTAAAAAAAATTTGCGAGGGTTTCCCCCTGTTTTGATGTGAGGCAAAATTTTAAGCTCCGCTATATAGTAATATAGCTGTTACTATCATCAAATTTCCCTCAGGTGCTAGAGCATGCCTTACTTACACCACCTAGCTTTAAATTCAGGCGTTGAGACCCTCAATCATCACTAAAGTAAGTAGTGATAACCAAGTGGAGGCGGCCTATCTACCTCCTAGTCTCGGATAGAGTCTTGTTGAGCTTCAGGGATAGGCACATCCACACAACGTAAAAAATTATGCCTCAAAGAAACATAATCAAAGGAACAAATGAACATAATACTATAAGAGAATAGTAGTATTCAGGCAAAAAAAAAGAGACACTCACACGAAGCGAGTCAAAGAAAAGCATAACAAACACAACATCAAAGATGTTTAAAAAAAACTCGTTGCTGTTGCAAGAAAAATGCATACTACATGAGCAGCGCGCATGGTAGTAATAGTCAGATGTAAAGCAACATGACACAAATACGCACAACTGCAAAAGCAACAGTGGTATTATAAGTTTACGATACAACATAATAACTAATGTTGTTTCCTGTAAAGCTACAGAGGAAACACTACCAAGAAAAGAAAAAGAAGAAAGCGCAACAAGGCAAACATCATGAATGCATTATCACGAGAAAGGAAGCAATAATACAAGCGTCCAAAGAAGTTTTATATCATTGCGACCAGAAGAAAGAAGATACTTACCACTTACCACAGCCACAGATAAACCAGAAGAGTATAGGCAATCACCGGAGGCAGACCAAAGAACGAGGAGCATGCACCAAATACAGCAGACCAGAAAAGACCAGATTAGCAGGAGCTGCAGCAGCAATACCAGCACCATAGAAAAACTATAGAACGAACGTTATCAGCAAAGAACAGACAAAGACCAAAGCAGTTATTTACTGCTTATCACCACCAGAGATAGACCAGAAAAGTATAGGTAATCACCAGAGATAGACCAGAGAACAAGCATACTACAACAAATAGAGTAGACTAGGAAAGACCGGATTAGCAGCAGCAGCGGCAGCAACACCAGCACCATAGAAGAACCAAAGAACGAACAACACCAGAGACCAGCCAAAGACCGAAGAAGCAGGCAGCAGAGATGGCAGAGAAGTAATGGCAGCAGCACTCACTCAAACAAGCAAAAAATTACTAAAACATAATAAACAAACTCAATTAATGTTAGTTTTATGTCTTTCAGTGCTCGTTATCGAATGGTACCTAATATATTCCACTTCAAAGAAGCAGTATCAAGTTCTTCCAACAGTACAAGACAGAGTTATCGGATGCTACAGTGTTATTATCAATCAAACGGTGTCCAAAACCACCATGGTTTGATACTAAAACGCGTTTTGCAAAAGGGTAAAAAAACGAGGGCATGGAAAAATGAGAGGGCACCCTATTCGACGTCACGACCAGTAGAGTTAATCTCAGTCTTGTACCGTAGCAGCCATAATTGCGGCAATTTAATTTGACATTGTGCAGTGGTATCTTCGTGTTCAAACTTGGCTTGATCTCACACCCTTTAAACGTTTTTGCTAAATTTGACTATAAAAACTGTCGTTGTCTAACCCAACTTTCTAATACATCTCTAGAGGATTAAAGAAGCAGCATCGAATGATGCTGATTACTTTTAGCTTTCAGACCTAAAACAATGAGCAATTTCCAAAAATATGAAAACAAGTTTTCTGAGAATATGTCAAAATTTAGCATATGAAAGTCTCATAGAAAGAGGTTCCAATGTTGCATTTAATTTTTACGATCAATTTGATCTAATACCTATCATAGGAAAAGTCTTCACTTTTGACGTGAAAAACGCGATCGTTTGATTTTCAAGAATTTTCCCTTGCTAGTACTCATGTAAAAAACGACGATTTTCATGAGTTTGCAACGTCCCAAAGAAAATTGAAATAAAGCATCAGTAAGTAAAGCGTGGTCAAGAAGAGTCGTTTGGCGCTATTCCAAGTCAGTAGACAAGTACAATTTAAGCTATTCTTTATTCGATAACATGTGTTGTGCCAGAAGGGCTGCAAGTGCCTATAAAGATTAAGGTATTCTTGATAGGTAGATATATCTGTGCTGTGCAACAACATGGACAAGCTCTGATAATTGAAGTGCATCTCAGCTATCTAAATGCTGAGGTTCACCAGATGTGATAAGCGTTGTACAAGATAAATTGCTACTTTGGCATTCAGAACTTAGTATAAATAGAATAACTCTTGTCTTCATCAATAAATCTTTAGTTTTTGCGTCTGACCTTATTCAAATAAGTCTTTTCTTGTTTTTGTGATATCAAATATTTTTTATAAGCTAAAGATTATAATCCTTTTATTCTTTGTTGTGCTTAACAACATGATAAGGTGCTGTTGCGTGATCTGGTATCTATTACGCGGTTTGAGGTGAGGAATATCTTTTAAATTTATTACGTTGTGAGAAAAGTTATAGTATAATAGATACAGCAGTACACTAGGAACCAGACTCTCCCAATAACAAACATCCTCCTGACGAACATGTATCGTTCATCATTGATTTCCAACGTGTCTCAATTCTGTGGGTTGCTATCTTTTACCTCGTAATATCAATTCCTGAACTTATAAAATAATTCCGGTTTTGAGGTTTAGGCCGTCATTTATAAAATCAAGCTTTAAAATATTGTGTTAATCAGTGTGAATATATGAAACACTCACAACATTATGGGGAGAGTAGGAGGAGACTCTGGCTGTCCTCTCCCTCCCACCCGGATTCTTTTTATTTTCATATATTTCCGAAATTGCGAACACTTTGATAAAGAACACACAATACAAGAAATTTTATTTTATATATATACTTTCGACAAATAAAGAAAAATTGGTAACACAGTCAGAGTCTCCGACTCTTGACCCATAAATGATGCTAGAGCTTTGGAGATAGCCTGTTTCTTCTATACCAACTTTAAGGGACAAAAACGATAGTGGAGCTGGGTTTTAGGTTAGATGATGTGTTGCTGATCAGGAACAGAGGATTTTGGAAATAAGACAATTTCGAGGAAAGAACTACTACGTATAAAACTTATTGAAAGCTATTAGTTACAAGGGATTGCGAGTGGTTGATTGATGGATTAGGTGTCGAGAAACGTTGTAGTGAGAACTTTTTGGTTAAACTTTTGTCCGTTGTGATTTGGCAAAGGGTCAAAGGTGTGCGGCGCATTTGATCAAAAAAGGAGAATGGCTTTTTCACGGCATATATTGGTTAATGTTAGAGATTTCGTACCACAGCAATCGTATGCTCATTTTGAAGGGTTGTTAATAAACATATAAAGGGATTTTCAGTCGCCACATTGATTGTCAAATAATTAAGCGAGTAAAGTGTAAAGTAACCAATATCTTCATAACATAATAAGTTTATGGTCTCTAGTCAACACTACTTCTTTCAAAGCCTCAAAAAGAAAAGAAGTTGATCTGACAAGTATTTTGATAGGCTGGCGTTATTAAATGTAGGATGCCAGAAAATAGCACGATGACCGA